TTCTTTCCTCCCTTTCAATCCTCAACTTGCAGCCTGGAAGAAATCCTCCCAACTGTGCCTGCAAAACTGCTTGAATAGATTCGTCCAAGCATACATTACACTAATCCACCCACCTCGAAATCCAGTAAACCGGACGAGAAAAAGGGTGCTACGTCCAATAATCCCCGAGTACCTACGCCAGTGGTGAAACTCCCTGGTCGATAGATCTTGTACTTGGAACTTGCAGTGAGGAAATCTGAAAAAGCGATTTCCCAGCGATCGAACAGATCAGCAGTCCAAAAAGGATTATCGTGTTATTATTCGACCATCGACCGGAAGAATACTCCGTCACGATGTCGCAGAAGCCCATCTTTGTGGCTACTCACCCCCGGGCGTGTTCCACGGCCTTTGAGCGAGTATGTTGTTCCCTGCAACTTCTCCCACCCCACCCCATCTCTTGGGTTGTAACATCTCGTTAATCTTGTTTGCATCAGGTCTTCATGACTCAGCGGGATACCATCCAGTGTGTCCACGAGCCGTTTGGTGATGCCTTCTACTATGGACCGGAGCGGTTGTCGACCAGATTCGCCGACGATGAACAGGCCCGTCTGGACAGCGGATTCAGCCAGTCGACGTTCAAGACCGTCCTGGATCGCATCGAGCGCGAATCATCTGAGGTCCGACCCTTTTTCTTGCCTGTTTTGTTTTCTTCACCACTTCTCTTTCCGTTGTCCCTAACACTTCGTTCCCTCCTCTTCGGCCATCGTAGTTTGAGATCGTCGACGAATCCATTCGGATGAGGGCTCGGTCTGCCTGATTAGAGAAATCCGGGGAAAACGCAGGAGCAAGATTCTGCTTGCCGTCGTGATGCATCTACAGGATGGACTGGCGAGCATGCGTCAGCCTAGCCTGTTCTTTCTGCCCTAATGTCTTCTCCCTCCCCCAGCCTACCACCATGTGTCCCGACACATCCACATAATCACAGTTCCACAAACCTGGCAAGATACTTACCCCCAAAAACAGGGCAAACGCGTCTTCATCAAGGACATTATTCACTACCTCCTCCCGCCGCACGGCCAACCCGCCAGCATCGCGCCATCCCTGCACCGGATCAAGCGCGGCGTAGGTACAGAGCAGCCGGAGGAGTCGAAGGCAACGCCGTACCCGTACGCGACGGAGGCGGAACCCGGCAACCCGACCGTGATGCCGCGGGCGCTCCTGTCGCAGTTCCACTTTGCCTTCCTCATCCGCGACCCGCATTATAGTGTACCCTCGTACTACCGCTGCACGATCCCGCCGCTGGATGCGGTGACCGGGTTCCAGAACTACGACCCTGCCGAGGCCGGGTACGACGAGCTCCGACGGACGTTCGACTATCTGCGGAACACGCGTCTGGTCGGCCCGCGGGTCGCCACGCACGAGCATGACGAGACGGAGCAGGACTCCTCGTCGGCCGCCTCCTCGCGTCCGTCGTCCTCGGCTTCCTGCGCCAGCATGACCGGACGGAGCAGCGGTGGCCGGGAGGAAGAGGTGGAGATTTGCGTCGTCGACGCGGACGATATGCTCGACAACCCGGCCCCGATGATCGAGGCCTTCTGCCGTAGCGTGGGCCTGAAGTACGATCCCTCAATGCTGTGCTGGGATACGGAGGCCGATCACGCGTGCGCGCGGGCCGCGTTCGAGAAGTGGAGGGGATTCCATAACGATGCTATTGAGTCAACAGGCTTGGTGGGTAGGAAACATGTTAGTATTCTCCCTTTACTTCTGTTCATTACCTCTCTCCTACGTCACGTCACAAAATAAAGAAAGAAAGAAAGAGATCCAGAGAGCTGGAGGAAGACAAGTCACCAGAACACGCACCACATACCTCTCTCTCCTCTCTCTTTCCTCTCACATACACTCAAACCCATTCAGCTGGTGAAATTGGACCCCTCAAAACTAACACCACAAATTCAGCCCCGAGCCCAGAAGACCGAGGCCCAATTCGACGCCGAATGGCAGGAGAAATACGGGCCCGAAGGCGCTGCCCTCATCCGCAAGACCGTGGATGCCAACATGGCGGATTATCTGTATTTGAAGAACTTCGCCATGAAGGTTTAGGAAAGAGCTTCCCGAACCTACCTCAATCCATGATGTTGGGTGAAGACGAGGGTTTTGGTGGGGAGTACAGTTTGCATTAACGAAAAGACAAGAAAGAAAAGAAAACCAGCGGTGTGGAAAATGCAAGAGCAAACCAGGTGAACGGGGAATAAGAGGGGGGGGGCGGATCAGATTATTAGGATCAATCTGTTCCCTTCAGAATCCCTTGTTTCAATTGTGTGATCATTTCCCTCCTTGATTGATGCACTTTGACGATATCTTAGCTTTGATGACGCGATTTCGATGTGCATACGACCTGCATAAGTATGCATACCACACTATGTCATGTTTGTAAGTCGATGGATGATGATCTTGTGCTTGTGTTTGATTTGTTTGTGTTGTTTGTTCTTTGTGATCAACTGCAATTTGTCAGTCATGATCACGAAAGGGTCTGGGAAATTGTTACCATCACTTTGAGGGTTTCGAAGCTTGAGTATCTCTTTTGTGGAGGATTCTGAGAAGGGAAATTGATAACCATTCATTCTTCTGGTAGTCAGTGGTGATTATTGTGAGTTATGAGCTATCCGTATGGTAGTAGCGGGTGCCTTGAAAGTCTGCAATCAACAGCCTCCCTGTGCCCCTTCTGCTCGCCAGCTACCACTTGTTTCCTAATAGTATCCAAGGAGCATATACATCGATCATTATGATCAAGTGTCTCGTGTATCAGAGCAATAAAAACCAGCCATTTGTATCATATTCAAAAGTTTCCAATTCACCATAACTACCACTCCACCACACAAGGGCAATCCCTGCCTAAGTATGGAAGTATACCTGGAGTCCGTCCGTATGCCGGCTCCTCAACTATGACATACGCTTTCTTGCACCCCACCTCCCAGCTTCCTTTAATACAACACGTACCGAAATAGACAACCTTCTAAACCGCACTGTAGCCGCCTCGCGACCCCGACCCTTGCAACGTGTTGACCACCCGACGGACCCAATCCTGGAAGATGTAGGGGACATCGCGCAGCGTGTCCCCGTGCGGGAGAAGATCCCACCCACGGGCACCGTAGCGGTTATAATTGAGCCAGGAACCGAAGATCAAGTAGGCAGCGATACACAGGAAGAGACTGTGTTGCCCGGGGATTAGTTGATTAGCGTTTCACCTCTCCACGACAGGGTATTAAAGGCACAAGTAGAGAAGGGGACGGAAACGGGAAGACATACAGAATAATCAGCCAGGTGAAAAATCCCCAATGACTCGACGAGTCCCCCTTGTTATCATCCCGGTACTTGTCACACGCGTACCGTGTCGCCCAGTCCAGCCGCAGCACGTAGGTGTCGTCATCGACGGGACCGAAGCTCTTGAATTGAAGACTGCTGGTACGATTTCTGTTGCCGCTGCCCTCTTCCTCGCGAGCGCGCAACACAGCCTCACTACCGACCGGCTCGTTCGTGGTCCGGAGACCTTCCAACCCCGACCGGTCGGGGTCGCAATTGAACTCGATCACGGCTTTGGCGGCGTGCTTCTTGCCAGTCGTATCCTCATAGCTGCCGCCGGCAAACTTGATCAGGAGACCTTCACGGGATGAGTCGGATTCCTTTAAGCGAGTGACCTCGGTGTCTTTGCTGCCGGATCCGAGGTGGTCGTAGCCCGCGATGGGAAAACCCTGGTCTATTTCGACGCTGCTGTTCGCGTGGCGTCGGTATTCGAAGCCGCAGACTATATATGATCGAGAGGTTAGTGCATGGGAAGATGCGACGCAAGAGAAGAGGATAGATTCGCGGGCAAGTTGACAAGGGGAGAAGCGCACTGTTTTTGGACGTTCCACACTTCAGGTGCTCTCGGTTGGCAGCCTTCCCCAGGATACTGCAGATGTTGAGCACATATGTCGTGTTGACTGTCGCGGATTCCTCGGGCTTCTCGACCACGTTGTAGAGGGTGTGTACGCCGCCGAGAGGGCTGAGGTCATATTTGATTTTATCAACGATTATGTCTTTGCAGTTGAAATTGCCCAAGGCAGAGACCAGACTGGGGAGGAGCAGGGCGGAGGAGAGAAGGGTAGAGGATAGGTTGGACGGTATTCGCATTGTGGATGTTGTTGATTGTGGTGCTGACAGGGCCGCGTTTGGCTGAAGAGGGTGATTGCGTTGGTTACCGGAGCTCAGCTCGACAGTTTCGCAAGTAGAAAACGTGAAAGATTTCAGATAGCAGCGACGAAGTTAATAAAGTAGTATTCCTTGTGGGGACTCAAATGAGGTGGTGAACTGGAGAAGCCGTGTTCACAAAATGAACAGGCGAGAAGGCAGGCTGGGAATTGATTCGATCAGTTGTCGGTGATGATGCGGCGGCCGGAGCTCTTCGTTTCTCCGAGGCGAGGGCGGGCCGAGAGGGAAGTCGACCAAGTCAGCATGCAGAATGTCCACAATGCAATCCTTGCAATGAGGCTGAGAGAGAGAGAGGAAGAGAGAGCTTCGAAGGATTAAACAATAGCGAGGGAGGAAGGAGACAGTGTGAGAGAGAAGGCAACTCGCGTGCTTGAGGAAGGCTTGTATTGGCACTGCGTCTGGCGAGCAGCTGACGGCAATGATGTCACCCGACCAGGTGCCGCATGTGCAGAATGTGAAAAGGAGACTGGAGGTTCATCCAACAGAGATACGAGGGAGTTGAGAAGAAGTGTGTTTAGAACAATTCAGATACACCAAAGAGTCACATTAGCATTCAGTGAGGATGAAGTATAGAAGGTTAGCAAGTTAGCAAGCATACAAGAAAGGAACCGAGAGCTTGGCCACTAGCAACAAAGCACAGGAGCATGAAGGAGAATACTAGATAGACAAAGAGACCTAATATACTACTATCAATGACATTCAGTGGTACTTCTTACAGGTCTATAGAACACAGGTTATTTAACATTTGACTTACTCTGTCCGTCCGTGTTGTAGTTAGGTTATCCAAGTCACTCTGTGCACGGGCCACATCAGCCCAAAGAAGAAACCTCCCCAGCATCAAATCCCCATCCCAATATTAATCAATCAATCAATCAAACATCCTCTCTACCCCTCGAAATTCGCAACCGTCTATTCCAAAATGATTCAAACTCGTATGGTAAGCACACTTCTCCTCATTTTGATAGATCTACTAAAATCACTCCCCATCTAATTCACCGACCGAAAAAAAAAAAAAAAAAAAAAAAAAAAAAAGAACAAAACTAATTCCCCCCGCCCACCAGCTCTCAAAAGAAGATGAAGCCCGCGGCGAGGACAACGAAGTCCGCCGCGAGGACCAAGAAAAAATCAACCGCTTCAGTCGCCTCCACCAACGGGAAATTGTGTTGGAAGAGCAATTGAAACTGAAGCAGGTAAGCTCGGCAGCCCTGAAGTCGTCTTTCAGTCTTGCGTTCTCCTCCTACCTCTCTCTATCCCAAAATTCACCCCGCCAACGTCGTCACTATATAACCTCCACCTGAATAGTTAGCAGTATCAACTGATATGAGAAATCAAAAACAGAAAGACAAAGAAGATCTCGAAGAAATCTCCACAGAGCTTGAACTCGCAGATGAAGATGATCTCGTTCCGTAAGTGGTTACCCTCCTCCCCCCCTTCCCCCTCATCCTTCATCTCCAATTTCTAATCCCCCTTATGATCCGCTGACATCCCAACTGCAGCTACAAGATCGGTGACTCCTTCTTCCACCTTCCCCTGGAAGAAGCCCAGTCCCTCCTCGCCACCTCCACCGAGCAAATCGACGCCGAGGTGAGCAAGCTGGAGGAGAAACTGGGCGACCTGCGCGAGGAGCTGCAGCAACTCAAGGTCGCCCTGTATGCGCGCTTCGGCCGGAGTATCAACCTAGAAACCTAGGTTCCCTGCCTTCTCAGGCCTAGTTCTTGTACCTAACCCACCTTTGGTTCGCTTGTCATCCTACTTTTTTCTTTTCTTGCTTTGCTTTCTTTAATGAAGACTATTTTTCGGATGCGGGGAGAAATATCACGTTGCTAGTACTGTAAATGGTGGGGGGCGTGGGGTATGGTAGCGAAGATGGTATTGTTGTTGTGATTCAAGAGATTGGACAATGAACGGAGTTGACTTAGGACATGTCTCATCAAGTTTGAATTCAAGAACAGTGTAGGGATAGTGTCATCTATAAAAAAAACTCAATCGCCTATGCGTGTACACATACTCTGTACAAAAGGGGTTCTATCCAACCAACAAGAGGGATATCTACGCGAACAATATACTAAATATTATGGTAGTGAATCATGGAGAAAGGAAAGAAAAAGAGAAAAGAAAGCTGTTTCGTGATCCATAACTTCATCTCACATGCTTTAATAAAGAGACGTGAAAAGAGCTCCCACGGGCAAGATATTATGACATGGCGTTGGTACAGTAAAATCCCGTTCGCTCGATTGCTCGGATGGGATATGTCTGCCTCAGGCATGATAGTTCGGCTGTGGTGCGACCGAAACGAGCTCATTCTGAGAGACTGGACCTGACCTGGTAAAAGAGCCAGATGACAACGAACCCCACCGAGTGCCGTGCACAACCATTTTATGCGTTACCCCTTAAATGATACTGGCGATCGTCATGCGCGAATGAGATGAGCTTGACTGGGGTGTGGTTGCATCAGAGCTGGTGGCTGCTGCGTCAGGTCCCAGGTAAGACGATTCCGCTGGCTTAAGATGATGATGATGATGGTGTTGTTCTTGTTGGTGTTGGTGTTGTTGCTGTAATTCTTTTTGTTGTTGTTGTTGTTGCTGCTGCTGCTGCTGCTGCTGTCTCTCACTCAAATACCGTACGCTCTGCTCAACCCAAGCCCAACCTTCCCAATTCTCCGTAATCTCCATCTCGGGACGCGGATATGCGGTGGGACTGTTGAGTTGGGGGGACATCGTTTCGAGTTGAGAACCTGTTGCGCTTCCTTGCCATACCCAGCTGCTTTCAATCGTTCCTTGCATGTCTCCAGAAACATACGCAATCAGCTCTTCGTCAAGTTCAGATATAATGGTCTCGCTGCGTTGAAGTAGCGCCTTCAAGAAAAATGCCAAGTATTGTCCGCAGGCAGCATTCACCGCGCGTGAGTCCCCAATCGCCGCACTGGCTTGTACGCAGACTAATGCAGCGGCATATTCCTGGCGAAAAAGAAGCAGCAGCACGCAACGCCAGAGATGTACGCATAGCATAGCGCCAGCTGATGAGGCGAGTAGTGGTCGCCAATCCTCGCCGCTGCTTGTCGGGTGTCCATGACGCGGGCTGGCGGGCGGAGGTCGCATACAGCGCGAAAGAAGACGGGCAGTATCCTGGGCGGTCGACACACAAAAGTCCAGCGCCGACGTTCGGGACTCGCGATTGCAGCATGGGGACATATTGTGTCGATGAAGAAGGAGTCGCGCGTTCTGCAGATAGATTATGGGTGCAAGAGAACGGGGGTCAAGGTATTGCTCGGACCGCGGCAGATACTGCGAGGGAAATGTAGCCAAGCAGGCATTGAAGTGTCGCTCGAAAGTTTCCAAAGTGGCCGGACTGATGGTTGGGCTCTTTAGGGTTCGAGACAGCTGTCCGATCGAGCGGACGACATGGATGCTTGCAAGAAGGGAACTTGTTTGCGGGCTCTCCGGCACACCACCGCCTTCTGAGATATACTGTTCATCAACGGGACATGGCAGGTCGACATCGCAGTCCTGATCATTGATCAGTACTGGTTTACCCATCTCTAAAGCAAGAAGCCTGGGAATGAATCAGTCTCGGACCTTCGGCGACGAGTCCTACGATCGGGTGATACTTACCGGTCCCAGGTGTACATCCCCCACCATACTCGTTTGCGCATCTCGCCCTCTAGAGGTGACCAGGGCCCGGATTCCAAGTGCAACCCGATCTCCTGGGCCACTCTCACAGCAGACCCAATCCACACCCAGCTGGCCGACCGGGAATTCGCTTCGTAAAGGAAGATACTGGCCAGCAGCGCCGCTCGGGCCTGGTCTAGAGTGAAGTTATCCTGCCATACATCAATGACACCGCAACAGATCTTCACAAACTCCTTGCCTTCCTGCTCCCGGTTTCGTTCTAGGGTGTGTAGAGACCCGCATGCAAAGATACCGAATAGGACCGCCGCCCATTCCCGAGGGATACCCAGTAACGAGCCTGCTTGGTAGACCTTCTCGTACTCCGCCACAAAGGTAGGCCAGTGAATGACGGGAAGAATGGAGTGGATGCAAGAATAATATTGCCCCAGCAAGCGATTAGCCACATCTTTTGGTGGAAGTGGTGGAGGATCCGTCGTTAGCAGGGATTTAGGTCCCCGCTGTCGATAAGGTGGAGGAACCTTTAGGATTCCTCGACCGTACTTGCGCAGGTTGATCCGTGCCTGGGTCAGATCATGCACGAAGGGCGCCTTGGGTCGGCGCGGGGGACGGGACCCGATATCCGGAAGCTTCAGCTGCGGTTGGCCCGTTGCATCGATGTCGAGATCCATCAGATTGTCCGACCTTAGCATCCCCGATCGTAGTTGGTGGAGTTGCTGCCTGGTTGACAGCAGTTGCTTTTCCAGGTCTTGAACTTGTCTACCAGGCAGTTAGCATGTGTGGTCACGGAGGGAACGGTAACACAAACTTAATAGACGACATGCGTCTGTTGGTTTCCTTGGTGAATTGGCAGCGCACCTTGCGGTTGGTGCATTCTGTGCAACTGGACGACTCGGAAGCGTCACACTGGGCGGAAGGTCAATGCGAGGCCAAAGTAACAGGGCTGCGGCGTAACCATACCTTGACCTTGCGCTCCCGACAGGCATCGCAACTGGGATCCTTCCTCCGCTGCCGATACGCCCTCTTCTGTTGCAGAGGCTGCTGCGATTGCTGATGATGCGGATGCGGTCCAGCCGCCACACCACCCACCGGCTGTAGCATTCCCGGTCCCGGGCCGGAGAGCGTTGGCGCATCCGCGAGGATAGATGCGCCCTCCGCGGGGGAGCCGCTGGACTCATAGGAACGCGAGTAAGGCGGAAGAGAGGTTGCGGTGGTTGACGATTGAGGGGTTGGCATTTGCTGGGCCAAGGGTTGCAAAAGATGGGACATCCGCAGACCGCTGTCGGGTCGACTGGGCGGTGCGGAAAGCAGTGAAGCAGCACCAGCGGCGGGTGGTGGTTGTGGTGGGCCGCCGGGCGGTTGAAGAAGAGGCGCTGGCGGCGAAGTCACCGCGTGCACGGGGGGAAGCTCATACGACCCTCCCGGCTGGTTCGGGCTAGTTGATGAGCGAAAATAATGCGCCTGCATGCCGACACCTGCAATGCAACCTCATAAGGCGAAGGTGATGAAGGTGGAAGCAGTTTGCGCGTGCGCGCCGGGACGGTAATCGAGTCCGTCCGCTGGTTCGAGAAAGAGAAGCAAAAGAGGATGAGGAAGAGGCGGATGGTAATAATGATGATGATGCGAGGCCAGACAACAAGGATTGATAGCAGACCCCCAAGACTATTCTTTTTCTTTTTCTCTTTTTTTCTTCCCTTTCTTCCTTCTCCCTTCACAGATAGATAGATGCAAATCAGAAGGCAACTAGCGTAGATAGTGGGGAGGGGGAATAAAAAGCGACAAGGAACTTTGACAATCAACCAGATCCCGAAAAGAGCGCAAATTCCCGAAATTCCCACCCAGATTTTGCAGTAGGATAGAGTGGAAGAGGAAGGAGGGGGGGGGGAGGTGGAAGGAGAGGGGCGGTTATCCGCAATGGCGACGAAGGTAAAATAAAATGGCTGTATCGATCGCACCAATGATGAATTTGGGTCAGAGATTCAATGTTCCAGAGAAAGAAATAAAGTTGGAGCGATGGTCAACCGTGGAGACATCTAGTCTAGACGCGGTAGTCTTGCGGTAGTTCCTGGTGCGGACAGATGGATGTGTTGGAGTGCAAGTGGGTGCTGGTGAAGCCATACAAGAATACTACCGAGGCTGAGAGGGGCTGCCAGAAGAAGAGCCGCCCAAGAAATGCCTTGCTGTGGGTTTCACCAAGGAAGGAATACTTCGTTGTACTGGTGGTGGTCGCGTTGCGAAGTTCGACTGGACCAGGTTGTCGTGCGCATAAACAAGCATTGATAAGAATGAAGGGGTTTCAGAGTGTTGTGGACACAATTCGTAGAGGAGGGGCTGGTGAAGAGGTGGCCACCTTAGAGAGGGGAAGGCAAAATTGAGGGAAGGGAAAAGGCAAGAAGGGACGGAGAGAGAAAGGAAGAGAGAGTAGAAAGGGAAGAAGGCGACTTGCGGCAGAAAAGACGACGACGGGGCAAAAAGAAGAATGAAGAGGAGGAAAGGATATAGAGTGAATAATGAGTGGTGACGGGCTTCGGCAGTCATGGGCAGGAATGGACGATAAGCCCGTCGTCCGTCATACTACTACTAATTGACTACCTACCTACTTGCCTACTACTTAAGTTACTTACTACCTACCAACCTACCTAGTTAGCGAGCTAAATAACAACTAACTTACTCGCTATAAGCACAATCTTCCTATTGTGGGAAAAAAAAAAGAAAGAAAGAAAGAAAGAAAAAAACAGAGATCAAATAGATAACTCGATTCAAGAAGAAAAAAACCTGAGAAATTTCCCTGTGTCAGGGATTCTGATCTGGTATGGTTAAATATCTTATTAACAGATTCCTCTAATTTTCTCGAACCCTAGTTCGTCTCTATATTGACTCCGGCAATGATCAAGTGGAAACAAATCCCCTCTAAGATTTAGTAGCAGCGGGAGCGGCAGCGGCACCCAGCAGCACCAGCACCAGCACCAGCACCAGCACCAGCACCAGCACCAGCACCAGCACCAGCACCAGCACCAGCAACAACAACACTACAACACTACAACACTGCTCAACGGCGACAGCAGTTGTCAGTTTTGATTCCTAGTTCCAACCTGCTCTTCAGCCTTCCGTCCCCTTTGACTAGGTACTTAGTCCATCATATTTGTTTGAAATAAGTTCAACTTTGGGGGGCACAGTCACCAGGCTTGAAATAGCTAGCCTGTCAGTGCGAGGAGAGGCTGAAATCGGCCAACCTATTGCCCCCTTCGTCGTTCTGTCTCTTGTCTCTCCTTCCCCCCTCTCTTCACACGACCCAACCATCCAGGGTCCTCCCAGGTTCAGGAAAGGTCTCCGAAAGTTTCTCGGCTGACCCCGGTTACAGAACAACAGGAAAAACATGGCTGAAACGACGCCATTCTATACTCAAATCAGATCGAAAGGAGAGGGGTGGGCAGGCTCGAGCCGGAGATTAGACCTGAGCTTACTGCAGAAAGTCTATCCGTCAAGGAATCTGTTGCCGACGCGGTAGCCTGATGGCTTCTAGCTCCTGTCGCTTGATTAAAGTGTGTTAATTTACCACTGCACCCATTGATTGCTGTTGCTTCGCTCGCACTCTCTCTTGCACATGCAAACATACACAAACACTACCGAACCGTCAACCAATGTAATTTATGTTAATATCGTCCTAACCGCAACACGAGCAGAAACAGTGGCCGGTCTGTTGCCTGGATCGATCGACTGTTTGCGATTGATGAATGGGAGAAGAGCATCGATCGGAATCCCTCTTCCTTTTTATCTTGAAGATCATGCAAAGAATTGCCAGCCGCTTTGATGTAGAGATAGAGATGGTCTGGTGGATGGTCGTAGTCATGAGAAGTGGGCAGACGAGGGTCGGTACCAACTTCCGGGAGCGCAGAGGCTTGAAGTTTTTTTTTTTTTTTTTTCTTTTTTCTTCCATTTTATGTTTAGTAGTTTTGGCTGAGGATCAGACCTCTAGCTAGCTGGAAAGCGACCCGAGATCGGCAAGTGGCAGTGTCGTCCTGACGACTTCAGGGCGACGGTTTGAGATCGCGACGTGGTCCTGGTCCCACCACGGAGCGGGATCAAAAAGAAGAATGGCGGGCCTTCCTTCCTGTGGGAGGGTCTCTCGGTCTCGGATAGGGGAGGACAAGAGAGAGAGAGAGAAAGAGAGGGGACGGAGCCAGACCCGGCCATGGGATGAACAATTTTCTGGGCTCAGCCGTGGACCATTGGCCATTGACCATTAACTGTCCAGCTTACATACGTCGTAGTAACGTTGATAGGTAGTTAACTTACTGTACGAATATACTTGTACATACAACCCGCAACACAAAGTACATACTGTACAGATCAAAGAATGTCATTTACGGTGCTCAAATCCGAGCCGTTTCTACAATACTGCTGACGTGCAGGATCATCGCGTTGGGGACTTAGGGTAAGCTCGCTCGTAACTAACAGCAGCAGCAGCAGGGAATAATGCCTCGGATCTATTCCGTAGCCGATGGTTGCAAATGATTAGCCTAAGTAATTAACTTACTAGTTAGCCCTCTGATTGATGATCGATGGACGAGAAGAGAGGGGCAGTGAGATTGGTCTCTCGATCCAGAGTGCCCACTCTGTCGGTACAAATCTATAAACGTATTCATATGCGTATGATCTTGCATTAATGTACTCGGTATGTCTTACCTCTGCTTCACGGAAATGGGAATCTGGAATAGAATCATCAAATCATGGATCCAAGAACCGACTCCGGAGTACGGAATGATGACTGGCGGTTTGACGGGAACGTGGAAAGTCAAACTCGCTTTACCTTCAATGAGAAGGTCGATGGGGCAACGGTTTGATTGGATGTTGGGGAAGATCGTTGGTTGCTATTCTTATTCTCTTCACCGACATCCATCCAATACCGGGTGTCGCTTCCCCTGATGTTGAGGTTGAGACCCGATTGATCCCTTCAACAACTCCAATTAGAGTTGCAATCCATTACACCGAATGACACCGAAAGAGAGATACTTTTTTTTTCGACCTATGTGTCTATTTGAGACACTGAGGACAGATATAATGAATGCCCCGCGTTGAAAATTAAGGCTGTAATTAAGAGACGAAAATAGAAGGAGAGAAAAAGAGTGAGAGAGGGGAGAGAAACGCACCTCGTCATCAACATATGCTGACGATCGACTCGGAATCACTGCTCCGGATCAAGCCCATTGGGCAGATCAGTAAACGGCACGAGGCAACAACCGTGGATCCACTGCGACCAAGACCAAGCTTGTGCACATTAATCATTAATATTACCACTGGTACTGATACTATACAATACCAACTGCCCTGTTGAGGTGCTGACGAAGATGTCTGGCAGTGGCATTGGTGTTGATGTGTGGTGGTAATGATGCTGATGACGATGCTGCTGCTGATGATGATGGTTTTTCTCGGGCGAAACACGGACGCCATTGCCAGGCCGAGTCACGGCAGCGAAAATTCTCCGGCTGCCCACCACCCAATGCCCACCGTCATTTGCGCTGAAATGATGGGTTAGCAAATTAAGGCCGTTTGCACACGCTGATTGGTATCGGCACATCGGTCGTTCCGTGCCCAATGCTCTTCGCAAGGTGGCAGTGCGTACTAGGTTCAATGTGTACACACACCACACAGTCTCTAAAAGTGCTTAAACGCAGTAATCGACGACTGCGCATAGTAAGGTATGTACTGCCTGTGCTATGGCCGTAGGATGGGTATCCTGCACTTGCCTCTGTACGAAGCAGTATGTCATCCATCCTTCACTACCTGATAGTTCAATCAACTTATTCCCTCTTTGAGTATTGAGAAAGAATCCAGGCCTCCTTCGCCCCTCATCACCTTGTGAGTGCTTTCCCTTGAGTCAGGTGTCAACGCCACAATCAATGCGTCCTGAACCAATCGATCCCTCGAGACAGCGCGCTTGGGTAACTCTGCCACGGGCCTAATAGTCAGCCACCCAAGCCCGCCTTCCCCGAATAAAGTCTCCTAGAGTCTCCTACGTAGGAGCCGACCCAGCAGTGTGCAGTAGTATCTTTTGGGAGGCATGGGCCCCCTTTTTGTTTTTTGTTTTTTTTTGTTTTGTTTTTTTTTCTCTCTTTTTTCTCCGTTTCTTTTTTTTTTCCGTCAATTGCCTACTTTTGTCTCTCTTTTCTTCTCCTCTCAATGCAGCGCTCACCTTCTGGGTTTCGGCGACTGTCGATCAGCACCGCAGTCCTCTGCCTCTCTCAAACAGGGTCCTTCCCTTTTCGCAGCTTGGCGTTGGGACACGGCTGCTGCGTGTGTCTTAAGCTCTTGGCCAACTGCCAATTTGTAGTCAAATTGTTCCTCGTCTCGATGCAACTGATGCCTAGCCCAGCTCTTGTTTCTCCTCTGAACAGAATGAATGGGGGCAGGGGGCAGGGGGCAGGGGTGTAGGGGAAGGAGGGAAATAAGAGACTCTCCTAGTGGCCGGCTGGTAACTCTCCTGATATGACAGAAATCATGCTCAACCTTACGCTTTTGAAACTCAATAACTAGACTACTGCTGAGTAGAATGTCACAGCTACCCTGCCCATTCAGGGTTCGGGTTCCAACTGACTAACCCCAAACGACTAACTTAGGTACTGCCTACCTAGATGTGTAAGGTAGTATACAATTACTAGGTCCTAGGTATTAACCTACTACTGAAGGTTATTTCAGGTCACACACGGAGTACCGATCAGTCTGCTGCGGCGGCGGCGGCGTGCCTGCACCGTCCTGCGCAGCTGCAGCAACCGACTCCAGTCGTAAATTAAGTTCTTGACTTGCTCCGTATGTACACCTACCATCTCCTTACAAGTTCAGAACAATTGATGCTGAGACCATTTACCAAGGCTGCGGAAAATATCTCCTCAGCCTATCCTGCTTCGATGAAACTGCCGCGCCGACGGGCAACATCCGCCAGTCTTACGTGTTAGTCGACAGCGTCGTCATGTCGCAGTCCGCACCCCAATTCATTCGTCGCTCCCACCCCCGTCGCTGACAGTAGTGGCCCATCCATCCTGCATTGAAGTGGATGCGGGAGCACACTCTCCCAGAAAGATGCCGCACTGCCGCGGGTATCGGATTCGTTCCAAGAGCTCCGTGTTGATTGCATGATTGCCTTGGGTTCCGAAAGCACTGGGTGGACTCTAGACCTCCGGAAGAGAGAGTGAGACTGGGCGGTGATGTGGTTGACCAGCCCGCTTTTCTCTTGAGTTACAGCACTACTACTCGGCTACTACTAAGTTTAATCGTTCTGTCCCTTTTCGAGAACAATAATGCGATCGGGTCGGTGACAACAAACAGGACCCAACCCACTCGCAACCCAGTCGGAGTACCTTAGTCACATTTGACCAGTCCTCCAAGGTCAAGACTAGACTAGACTAGGGCAGGTTAGGCCCGAGAAGTGGTTCCCAGACTAGGAGTCACTAGTGACTGCATGTCTAAGGTACCATGTAACGTACTCATGTACCATGTCGGCCGGATGTTCTAGCCGAGATCTGAACAACGATATGGTTAGGACTAAGTAAACTCTGGTGGATGCAAACTCCGGCCAGTCACAAGTGGCAAAAGACTAAGCTTTTCATAGGAGAAACAGGCCAGAAATTGGTTCGATAGGAAACTATTGGAAGGCAGACAGGAAATAGCCGGATGGACGGAACGTCAAACAAGCTGCGTCGAGTTGCTAGCTACATATGATATGTACGAGGATGTACGGAGTACTGTACAGTGAATAGCAGAAGCTCGCCTAAGCTGTTTCCCGGTCGGCCTCCGGCTTGTTGCGAATTTTGGGACAACGGGACCTAAGTTTAAAAATGTACAGGACATTTGGTGCGTGCTCTCCGTACATAGAATTAGAACGCGGGCGGTGGTCGGATTTGGTTCCTGCCGTGGGCCCCTTCTCAGTCACTCTCACTCACACACTCACACACATCCTCTCTCTCTCTCTCTTTCTCTCTCTCTCATACTCATACATTGTTATAGGTATATTGTGACTGGTAATTTGATACTTCGATGGGCAAAAATACCTTTTGTAGTTTAGCTCTACACTACCGTTGTCGGAAGATATGAATTGGAAGCTGGTTGGGCCTCTCTCCGAGGAGCATTTTTATTTTATCTAATCCATTATTCAAGGGTCCCGCTTTATATGGCACGTCCCGTGACACTTCATCGGATGCACTCCAGTCTAAGAGTTGTTCAGCTATTGACGGGTACGATGGAAGAAGCCAGTAATAACACTACAGCAATGTTAAAAAAAAAGCAGGGTACTGTACGTACGAATTAGCACTCCTACCTAGTACTTATTTACCTTACAAGCGGTGAGCGGGGGGACCATTGGCCCCCTACGCAGTCAGCAGTGT